CGTCCTACCATTACAATCATTACAATGAACCCTGTCTCGAGGGCATGGTGCGTTGCCGAGCTAGTGGAGGCATACAACAGCCACATGGATCAGCACGTGACTGGGTTTGTTGTTAAGGAATTTAATTTAAGTTACCATAATAGGGATCTAAAGGTAAATAATAGGGTTTCCTTATTATGGTAACTTAAATGAAATCCCTTAACAAGAACCCAGGTGATGCTCCACTCCCCGCACGTCTTGGAGCAGAACTCGGGTCGCCTCACCTCTCTGAAGGTCGAGGACTGCCAGGCTTCTAGGCAGGAAGACAAGCAGGCCGGGAAGGGTTGAGTTTCAAGGATGTTTCGGCTTAAGGTGGAGGGATGTTTAGGTTGAGTGTCACTCACACCATGTGCAGCTGTGATGGTATTCTGAGTGAGTATGGCCAAGATTGTACAGTGTTTGGTCTGTACTACGCGATTGATCCGTTCAGGCTCGTATTCGTGGTCACTTGAGTCTACCGTGCTGTGTAGTAAGCAAAAAGAGTGCTACCGGCTACAACACTTTTTTAATGTGTTCAGACGTGTGCTTGCTGCGAATCATTGGATGATATGCGATCGGCGGTTTATCTTTAACGCCGCGGAAGCATGACAAGCGTGCCAGCGCTTGAAATCTCGTCTCCGTGTCAGAAAGCACCGCAACCTCCCTCCTGCTGAGACATTTTGGCTGTAGTCGCCCGTCCCCTTGTCTGCTTCGCATGGTGATGAACTGAAGTCTGTTGAAGCCAAGCTTCGAGGTTGAGAGTCCAGGGCTTGAAGGGGGAGTTCCGGGTGTATGTTGGCAAGGTCGAGCGCAACCAACACGGCGATTGCGAACAGGGCAGTATCGGACCCTTGAAAGAAACAAGCAGCTCCCGATACGAGTTTGAATGAACGGCCAACCGCAACGCCTTCAACCTGGTACCCATCGATAGCCATGGAGGCCGTAAATCCTAAACCCTTTAGGAATCTCTGTGAGGCCATCCTTTCGAAGATTGGCGGGGCTCCGGAGATTGAGAAGTTCAACGGCCTTTTGCAGCAGCTTCTGCTCGGATCGAAGGGGCTCCTGGCCGGATGGCTCGACGGACAAAGGATGCTCCAAGAGGTGGGAGTTTCCGAAAATTAGGGGTACCTTATTTTCAGGGCCCTTATAATAAGGATCCTACTATTTAGGGTACTATATTAGGGTCCCCTAATTTCGGAAGCCCCAGGTGGGGGCCATCGCCGCCCGGGCGCGCAGCCGGTGCCAAGCACAGGAGAGCAGCCAGAACTCGGGTGATGGCGGATGTGTCAACGCCGATGTGATCGGAAGTAGTTCCAGTGATACGTTCTCCGTTTGATGTTATCCCCTTGAAGGGGAGGTGCATGCGTGCATGCGCATCGTCAACATCACTTGCATGTCATTTTTTGTGTCAATCCTGGGCTTCGCAGCTTCACATGTTTCACACGGTGCCTTTTTTTTTCGGTTCATCCTCTGCCCAAAGGGCATCTCGAGCGCACCAAATACAACAAAAAGAGCTTCAGTGCAAACTACTTGTACTAGATGTACTTATCGGAGCAACAATAAACATAGAAATAACAATTAACAGCCCTAACCCCTCTACCCGTGGATGCTTTGCGGCTGCTTCTCGTTTCCGGACGGTGTGGGTGTATCATCTTCGTAGCTTAGGGTTAAGAATTTGGGGTTTGGAGTTTAGGCTTAAGGCGAGTGAGACTGCACAGCTTGTTTGGTCGGAAAACTCGTGCAAACCCGCAACACCGGCAAACCTTCAGCACTTCTATGAAACAGTTGTACTATGTTGCATTGCATGGTACGCTATACTGAGTTCCTGCATAGTATAGAAATCTGCCTCCCATGTGGGGCCACAGCTCCAGGCTGCAGGTGGAGCGACTTAGCAGGGACAGGGCACATGGGTTGAGGGGGTTTGCTATCCTTTTCTTTCGTAGCTTTAACTTTCACTTCCTGCAGTTCGCAGCAGTCGTGAGTTCAAGCTTAGCATGCACTCTCAAAACAACTCAAGTGTCAGAATCGGTCTAGGGCTCGGGTCGTTTGGGGCTCAGGGCTTTGGGCGGCCCAGGATAGTTCTCAGACGATGGACCAGCTGGCCGCTTGCATCCGCCCCATGGCTCGCATGAAACACAAGCTTGAGGTCCAAAAGCCACTCCCGGCATCCCAAAGCTAGGGCAGGGGGGTGGCAGGGAGGTCATAAGTTTTGTGGCTCCATGCGTTTGAGTTTGCTTCCTGGGTCGCCCATAAGGGGAAAGTTAAGCTAGATTGTGAAGGCCCATTCCCCATGCCCAAGATTGCATTGCCTCATGAGTCGGATAGAGTGTGCTCGAGCACGGCGAGCCGAGAGATGCTTGGGCGAAGAAGAAGCAGCAGCAGCAGAGCAGCAGTACGACTGGCAGTAGCTGTAGTAGCAGCAGTAGCCGTACCCGCAGCAGCAGCAGCAGCAGCAGCAGCAGCAGCAGCAGCAGCAGCAGCAGCAGCAGCAGTCGCAGCGGTGAGAAGAGTAAAGCACAGAGCGAGATCAACGGCAAAAGCCATGACAATAGCAGCTGCAAGAGAACTAGCCATCATATGTGCTTTACTTGAGCATGAGCCGTGTTAAACATAGCGTGAATGCTCGGAGACCTAGGAGTGTCTGGCGCTGGTGCACGTTGTTTTACAGTCTTGCAGGCATGAACTTCTGCAAGAGCAGACGTCTTGGCCCCGGGGCTTCGGCTTGCTCAGATATTGAACATGTTGCGGGAGGCATTCAGAGCCATAATTTACCACAGTCTACTATAACAGACTATATGCTACTAGGACAGTTGCTATGGTAAAAAGACCATAATTTTGAGAACTACCCATGTGTAGACACCAGGGCTGTGGGTTGCGCGGTTTTTAGGCCCAGGCATCTGTTGTCGAGAGCGAGTGCATGCGACGATTCCTGCATAACTAGTGCTCCAGGAGACCTTCAGCACAGCTACCAGAGCCCTGCCCCTGTCTCCAAAACTCTGCTTGAATCAGTGAGGATCTTCCAAGCCCCGAGCTTTTCTGAAGGTTGAATGCAGCAACAATCAGTTTTTTGAGAGTGCAAGACTGCAAGATGGCAAGACGAAAAGCTTAATGCTCATCATGCAACAGAGACGCGAGATAAGAGTTGTCGCAAGGACAAGAATAGCAGCAGAGTCGCAGGAGTGCTTTTTTCTCGCTGCAACTTAGATGTGGTAGTGTAGTAGTCGTCGTACATAGTAGCGGCAGTAGTAGGAGTTGTAGCAGTGGCAGAGGGACTTGTGGGATTGACAGGAGGCAGATGGAGGCAGTTTAGTTCCTTATTGCTGCAAGTCATCGCGTCGTGGTATTAAGCAAGGCAACCAGAGCAAGAGGCGCAGCGAAACATGCGAAACAAGAACTCCAACTGCGAGCCTTTCGGTGCCATTCAGCTTCCAAGGTGCCCAGATTCTGTCTGGCATCTGTGCGCTGGTGGCGGTTCTCTTGTTGCTAGCGCTTGCAAAGGCAGGTTGCGTTGCCATGTCCGCTATTTTGGGGTCTTTCGCCTTCAGTCGTAAGCCGCTTAGACTTGCAAAGAATGGTTCGCCGAGGTTACGTGCGGGCTGGTCAAAATTATGGGTTTCTTTTGAAGTGTCCTTTTAGTTAATCAAGGTGCAGCCTCTTTTTGTTCATGCTGCTAGGGTCCCCCATTTTCTGAAGCTTTGGGATCCGGAACCTCGCCACCCACCGTCCTCAACTTTTGTCCGTGCACCCCTACACCAAATCCCCAGATCTCGAGTTCGGTTGCTCCGGATAGCGCGAAAGGGTCCCACAGTCGGAGACGAAGCAACCAACCTACACGTGCAGTGGCTACAGGAGGGATGGGCACTTGCTCAAGCCGGGCACTCCGTGGTAGACGGTGTGCGGGGATGTAGAAGTAATGAAGTCCCTGAAACTCCGAATCCACCCGGAAGCCCAAAGGCCAAAACTTTCGCACCCCCTGATTGCCTTATATATGTGCGCAGTGCTGAAGGCTTGGGAAGTCGGGGTCGGAACGATTTGTGACAGTCAGGTCTTGATCGAGATTCGCTCCATGCGGATGTCTGGGGGCCTCACCGGTGTAGATGAGCCCAGCCTCAGCTTGAAGTATGACTGTGAGGTGCGGTTTCCAGGGCTTCGGGTGCTTCGGGTTTCCGAAGCTCGGGACTCGGCTTGGCTTGGGCTCGGAGAGTTTGTCGATGTCCACTTTTTTTGTTTGCGGATATTGGCTTAAGAGGTCACTAGCTACGTTCTGATTCCCGAAAGTAGAGAGAGAGCCGTGGCGTGTGCCGAACGCTGGAGTATGAGGCTGAACAAACCCCAACTCAAATCTCCTATATAATTGTTCTTGCGGGGCGACTTGTTTTTTCTGTTGGTAAGAAAGAGTTTGGTTTGTATCTGCTTTGAAGAAAACCTGCGAAGAGCCAAATCAAAGCAGCAGCAGCAGGACTTCCGCACACCAGGTTCTTGGGCAGTTCAGGGGCTGCCTTTGGGGGGTTTCCATATAGAAGTGCCGGAAGATCCCGAGCGGGAGGACGGTCTCAACGTCTGGGAAGTCGATTGGAGCACCCGCAAGATGGACTGGTGCTGCTGCTCGTCCCAGTGAACGAGGTTGGAGCGCAGAGGGGGACGCAAGAGAGCCGAACTTTTGGGCGAACTAGTCTAAAAGGAACTCGGCCCAACACGAGTTCCTGCGTGTGGCAGCACAGTTGAAGTCTTGCGAGTCGTGTTTGCGAGTCGTGTAGAGTCACAGAGTAGATAGCCCGAAGCCCAGCAGGAACAGAACTTCGGCTGGATTTTTGACATGTCGTTGTCTAAGATGCGACAAAGCCAGAAAGGGCTCTAGCTTTTCCGGGATGAAGCCACGAAGGACCCTCTCAGCATGGCTGGACGGAGACCTCCAGTATTTTTTAATCGAATCGTAAAGCATCAAGGCCGTGTATGCTGATCGTTCGAAGTACAGCGCCTTGCGACGCAGAAGAAGCGCCAGTAGTTGGCCCAGCTAGACCCTCAAACTGAAGGTATGAAGCTTGGCAGCCGAGGTTGGAATTACGGTGTGGGATGCATGCACTTCAACTGCGAAGGACTGCAGCATCTACGTAGGCATTTGAGATCTCGGGCTGGACTGAGGATTGAATAGGGGGACATGCAGAATCTCCCACCTCAAGCACGACACAGCAGGTTTTCGCATCTAGACGTGCAGCGACAGCAGTGGATCGTTCGACTTGAGGTTGCGCTCGGGCAGTGCACTGGAATATTCTGATCCTTAGCTTCTCTCGCATACCCAACAGAAGGGTTCTCGTTCAAAGGGGTGGGCCGTATATACTTATATGGTGATACAGTGCAAATGCAGGAAGCACAGCAAGTGTTTCAGCAACAATCCTTGGGAAGAAAAGTACAGTCCACCAACGATGGTCATGATGCTGATGATGATAGCGATTATGATGATGGTCGTGATGTTTACCATTGTTTACTAATAATGATCTAGATGGCCATCAATGACAGCAGGACACAGTTGGTGATGTTGCTGTTCTGGTGCTGATGATGTGGCAGTGATGTTGAAGGTGTGGGGCAAGAACGATCGGATGCACGGCACGCTGCACGACCGGTGAACTGAGCATGCATAGTAGTGACAAGTGTCGTGAAGTCATGAGGCAGGAGGAAAACATTTTTATCATCATTGGAACTGCAGCACGAAATTTCAAGTTCACCAGGCACTAAGAACATGTCTCATAATCGCACATGGCGTTTTGATGTACATGGTCCACGGCCAAATTATACGGTCCAGGCTGGATCCCAGCTCCGGGCTGTGATTTGGCTGTGATTTTGCTATGCCGTTGGCTGCGGAGGCGGCTTCACGAATCACAGCCAAATCACAGCCAAATCACAGTCGAATCACAGGCAAATCATTGGGGCCAGGGGCCTAGGCCGGATCCTAGCTCTGGGCCGTGATTTGGCTGTGATTGTGTTATGCGTTGGCTGTGATTGGCTGCGGAGGCGGATTCCCGAATAACAGCCGAATCGCTGACCAATCACAGCCAAAACACAGCCGAGTCACAGACAAACCACAGCCGGAATCACAGCCAAATCGCGGAATGATTATTTCCCAAATCCTAGAGCTTTCCGAGCGTTGGCAGTCTCTCAAATCCAGCACCAATTGCTGTACATTTCATCTAGTTGTTCTCCACAGCCTCTTTTTCACATTGGCTGCGAAAAGTTTTCAGGCCGGGCACTTTCATGGACCGACATCTTGCATCATCTCGCGTTTGCGCAGAATTTCATCTGTCCCTCGTAGCAGGTAGTTGTCAGGGTGTCATGAAGCAATAGCATCAGCAGCAGATTGATATGAAGGCTGGATCATCATGTGGGTCGTTCTCTATATTAGGTTCCCTTTTTTGGGTCCCCAACATAGTACGGCACCCCCATGAAAAGGACCCCCCCAAGTGACCCTAATTTAGAGAATTACCCATGTGTTGTGCGTTTCGTGAGAACACACATTGGGACTCGGGTCTGCGGACAGGCATTCTCAGGCTAACTGGAGTAACTGTGGTTGCAAGGATGACCTGGAGATTCTGGGTAGCTTTGGGGTTTCCGTGTTTGCGTAGAGTTGTTTTTGTGGCCGGGCCAGAGTATTCCCTGTATCCACAGAAGAACATGCCGTGAAGATATGCGAAGATAATATCAGATTTAATATCCCGAGAACAGGAGCGACATCGCGAGCATTTGTGAAGAACAGTCTTGCTTAGGTGTCGTTTTTTTGATTGGTTTAAGCCAAACGCCGGAAATCCAGCTCCAACATCGAAAAAAGTGTAACAACCAGCCTGATAATAAAGGTAGCGACTAATGTTCGGGCCAGGCTTCACTACCAGGCGTTATGAAAATCCGACGCCTCAGTGAAGGACATGAGACTTCCTGGACAGACTTGCAGAGCAAGCATCTTTGCACAAGAAGTGGGTCCAGGGACAAGGGCTCGGTAACCACCTATTCAGGTCATTTCAGGGCGATGCCATCCGCTTCAGGGCATGGTTTGTGGACAGATCTTGCCCATTCGGATGAGGTGAGTTGGTCTGGCTAGCTTCCAAACAGATTTCAAGAGGGTGCTTCCAAGAACAGATCGACGATACCGACATTCATGTTCCTGCTGCTAGTTGAGGAGCAGGGCCCTACGCTAAGAGCGACTAGCAGTTCCAACATTCAGCGTGTCTTCTCCATGCTCTTGTTTTTGTACAGGTCGTGCCTCGTTTTCTGCTGTTGCTGCTCCTGCTGCGTTTTTGGTTCTCGTTTCTGTTGCACTTGCTATTGCAGTTGCTTTTTTGAGCATTGACAGAGACTGTATTCCTGCTGGTTCAGGGTGTGAATCAGGTGGTGCTGCGAAGTCCGGGGCATGGGCTCCCAGTGCGTGGCCATGTCCCTTCCTTTTGCAGCTCGGCGATGTCGTAGAAGACGAGCTTCAGAAGTCAAGGCACTGAAGTCGAAATGCATTTTGACCTCCATGGGTCCAGGCACCGAGCCCCTTTTTCTCTGACGTGTTAGGCCAAGGTACAGGACGACGGTTTTTTTTTGGGGCCTGTCGCCTGCACGACCTTCGGCATGGAACTTTTTTGCCGATGAGGTTTTTACGAGTTCCTGCATGATCCTGTGTGCTGAGCCTGACGTGCAACTGTCGAAGCTAGCAGTGAGCCAGCATTGCTCAGGACTGTGGCCAAAACCTCGGCAGCTGGAAAAGCTGGGGCCCAGAGAAGAAGCAGTGGCCGTGATCCTCAGAATATGTTTCGCTGTTTCGCGCCAGCTTACAGGTAATCTGCTTTCAAATCACCATTGCCTGTGCTGTTACATCCCTACAGTCTAGACTTGAGATGCTTTAGATGAAGATGTCTCGACGGTATTTCTTCAAGCAAGACTTGGGATTGCAAGCGCGAGGCTCGGCTCAAGTGGTTCGCCGGTTTCTGCTGAGGCATGCTTCAACCCTACAGCACCGAATGCTTCAGCCCACTAGCTCCAATAGCCTGCACCAACACTCTTTCGCTGAACCCGTTGCAGAATGGTGAAGAATAGAGTATAGAGCAAGCAGCGGAGAGCCTTCCACACCGTCAAGAAAGATAAGTTTGCAGTCCCAGGTGCTGCGACTACCAGGGGCTCGGTTGCGGCGAGGAGTTCGAGGTCTCTTGGCGGTGTGCTCAACTAAGTTGTCGTAGTATTTCCTAATCCCCAAACTTTACCCTAAGGCTCTAAGGACTCATATGCTCAACTAAGTTGTCGTAGTAATTCCTAATCCCCAAACTCAGACTTTGAAGGAAGCAGTTTTCCTTTCCTCAACCAAGCAAACCGAGCTTGTGGGTGTAGAGTGTAGACCTCAGCCGTGCCAGAAGGACACAAACTCAGCCTTGATCCCTGAATCCCGGCTTGTGGGTGCTCACGGCTTCTGGCGTTTTGGCGGGTTTTCTGCCGGGCGGAAGGGTTTGCTGCCTTCTGTATAAGTCTACTCGTCTTGTTCCGGACCCATCCGAGTTGCATTGTCAGTGTTCTCGCAAGAACGAGGGACTGCCCGTTGACACATAGCAAGCCCAAGCCCGAAACTTCAACCCACAATGGAAGTTTTGTGTTCGGTCAAGCCATGTCGTATAGTCTCGTGTGTTCTTCCATTCTCTTGATTGTTGTTCGCTTCTCCCTCAGTTTTGCTGTCAGCCAACCCCAAACCCCAAACCCTAAACCCTAAAACCCGTTGCGGCCAGTGACTCTCGGAGTTAGTGTCACACCGACCCAGACCATTGACCTCGCCTGGCTAGTCCGAGTTGTGAGAGTGTAAACCCTAAAACCCTGCACCAAGTGAGTGACGTCAACTGGGGGCCGTAGACTCCTAGTCTATACTTTAAGTTCCTTTCCCTCTAGTGTGCTTTCACCCGTATGTCTTAGTGATTTCTACGCAGCCCTGGAGTGAGTGGTAGACCCTTGTACAAAGAACCACTGGGCCGGGAGGATTAAAGAAACCTCCTGAGTACTTCAGTGGCTTGCTTCGGTCCTCCCTGCACCATTAGAGTCCGGGGAACGACGGGGCTGCATCCTCTGCTGCTGTGCCGGTTGTGTACGTGTCGGTGTTGACTTTCACGACACGCAGAGAATGCGCCTCGCCTTGGTTCTCCCTCGCGTGAAGCTCCCATGAAATCCCTGCGGCGCGACTTTGTCTGGGCGGGTGGGGACAAAAAAACCCGAAGCCATGTTCAGGACAGCCAGGAGAAGGCATCCGTGGCCAAGGCCGCTGCAGACGCGGCCCCGAGAGCGCCCGGGGAGGCAGACAAGGGTCTCGGTTAGGTGTACACATGCTATATTGCGTCTTATCTTGAGATGAGGGTCTAGGGTTGATGCTATCAAAGGCCCAAGGGCCCGGAAAGCCTGGACCCTCAAAAACACCCATGAAACTCGATGATAGCTGCCGACCTCCCTTTGCCTTGCACAACCCAAAGCAGCCCCTTATCAAGCCCTCGGGAAAGCCTTGAAGTAAACCTTTTTGCAACCCTTTTGGAAGCGCTGCTCGCAGCCGTGATAGCAGCCTTCAGAGAAATCGCATGACAATTTATAAGAGCCTCGTATGAACATTACGAAACCCTTTTAAATCCCTTCGCCTAGTATAGTAGAGCATACCCATACCATACCCCGACTGCATAGTCTAATTAGGAAGGTCCCTATGCTATAGATTCTTGAGACGAAAAGGATCCCTTCAAAGGAGTCCAATTTTTCAATCATGAAGGTCCCTATGTTAGTGAAGGGGGGGCCCCCTCCGAGTTTGCAGGCTCAGCCGGAGTCCGGCTCGCCAGGTGCCGCAGCTGCAAGGAAGTGGTTTTGGGGCCTCTGGGGCTTTGTGGTTTTTGGGGCTTTTTGAACCAAGGGGTCTGAGGGCTCGAAGCGGCATCAGCTTAACATGGACTCGTTCTACGCATGCTGGCAGCGATATCCCCCACAGTTGTTAATGGAAGTGGGGGGGGGGTCCTATGTGCAGGCCCCAAGGGACCACTTCCAATATCGGGGTTGGGTGATCTAGTGCCCAGAATCGAGATCCAATTATGCCCTGGGGGGGGGGGGTCAGTCAGCGCAAATCACTTCCAGTTATTGGGGTTCGGGGTTGCTATTATTGATGCAGCGATCATTTTGCTGCTGATGCCGTTGCTCTTGCTGCTGCCCGTTGTGGTGATTGTGGCTGTGGCGGAAGATGTCTTTTCGGGGGCAGGAGGGGGTGAGGCTCAGAAGCAAAAGCAAGGGCGTTTACAGGGTCTTGGGTGGGTGGTGGTCGTCGTACAGGAACGGGCGCTTTGACTAAATATTATGGATACTGAGACAGTTTTAGCCATCGTGTTGCAAACGTGTCAGGCCGTGGTGTGAACAAGGCACAGACTATAATAAGGCAAGAGGCAGCAGCCCCAAGCTCAAGAATACAGAGTTCGGCAATTCTCGCTATCAAGATGCTGTGGCAAAGGTAAAGTTTTACAATCGCCCGTGTGGCCTTCGAACTTTTGAGTGGTTTGGCGGTTCGAGTTCAGACTGATGACTCAAGGATAGTTATACTTTCATTTTGTGGGTGTTGTAGGTCCCTGTGCGACGTGACATGAGAAGGGTCTGCGGCTTAGGCTCCGTCTCCACCACCCTCTTCACAAAGTGCCAGTGGCCGGCCTGAGCAAGAATCACCATGATGGCTGTTGTTGCCGTTGGCATCTGTTGGTGGTGTAATTTCCAAGCGGGAACTGCTACATTAGTACTTACAGCTACCATTCTCATGAGGAATCCTCCTTGCCGATTGCTCTGAGCCGTGACAGGCTGTACTATGTCGTTACCACTAGAAATTCGAGAATCATCGCTATTTGGTGTCGTTTGCCTTTCTTGAGTTGAGCTTTTGCCTGGTGTCACTGCTGTTGGTATCGGCAGCGTTCGGAACAGTAACAGTCGTTGTGGTGGTAGTCTTGCTCGTGGCCAGTCGATATCTAGGCTGGCACTGGCTTCGAGTGCTCTTTCTGAGGTGCGGCACAGGACATGTTTCAAGCGCATTTCCGAACAATCATTGCTAGTTTCGTGCCTGCACCTTTGCTATGGAAGTACACCCGATGCCCCTGCGGACAGGATACAAGCCAACCCCGCCCACGCCGTCAGACACTCCCTGACCTAGCCAGTGGAACATCAAATGCTCCAGGTTTAGATGTCTCGATCCAGGGGGTTGCGTCGGATGATTCCAGATGAAGTCTCATTGTTTGACGATGTTTCACATTGTTTCACGGTTCAAGGTTATCGTTCAATTCGGAGGGAGCCCCTGCATCTTCTTCGTGCAGGGCTTCGGGTCGAAGAGGCAAGACTCCGTAGGCCCATCGGAACGGTTTGAGCGCTGAACGGATTCCAGAGTTCGACATTTTCTACGCAAGATGCTGAGAGTTTTTTTTGCCTCAGACTTGATCTAAGCTCCCGGGTCCAGGGTCGCACCTTTCAGCTTCGGCACGCTACCCACATTACCCTAAACCCTAAGCCCTAAACCCTAAACCCTAACCCCTCTTAGGGTTTTCGCTCGGGTCCGAGCCCGGGGAGGGACCTTGCAGTGTTTTCGTGCGCTGAAGGTCCGAGTGTGTCATCGACGAAGTGCAGGCTCCCGGCCAGCTCGAGAGTGTTTTTGCATCGCAGAATACAGAAGACATGAAAGATCGCGGCATCTCCTTTCGATGGTATCGTATCGTGTGACGTAACATAGTGTAATGGAGAGGATTTAGGAATCCATGGAGGGTTCAGAGAATAAAAAAGAGGGGGTCATTGCTCGCAGAGACTGTGAGTCTTCAGAATCAAGAAGCCGCCCGGCGATGTGCTTCTTTGGTGCGACTTCCGGTGGTTGGGTCTGCACACAGAACCTCCCAATCTCGGCATCCTTCATGTCGGCGAGAGGTCGAGAGTTTTTTTCGGGTTTTCGGAGTTGGGATTTTCGGCAGTGGTCGGACAACCGACAGCGACGAGCCAGTACTGCGCCATTTTTCCCGAAGCTCAGTTGGCTATGCTCTCGGCGAAGTGGGCTTCCCAAAGTCCAATTGCGCCGACCCTGAAACAGAAGCCATTACCCTTGCACGGTTTCCGGGCAGGCAACCTGTTCCGACTGGGTCGTGGACTTTGCGAAGACACTCTGGCGCAAGCAGCTGCGTAACCCCTTGAAACACAGTTGTAATACTGTTGTAATTGTTTTCTGCCTGCTTGGAAGGGGCCTTCAGGAACCGTGGGAGGCTCCTTCAGAAGCCCGGAAAGAGGTTCGGGGCGCCCCCAGACCTTGGTACGAGGGGGGAACATCCTTCATGGGATTTGCTCAGGGTGGCCTACAGAGGACAGCACAACGCATGCGGCCAGGCGTGGGGGGGGGAGGAGCTCGGAGGGTTTCGGGAAGCCGAGGGTGTACGGGGGTTTTGACTTTGGGATTGGGCATTACATGGCAGAGATGCTGTAAATGCTCTGGTGATCTCCGGTCTTTCGGGGTCAAGTGTCTGCAACACTCAGCCATCCCGGCGGCTTTGTGATGATCCTCTGCGATGTCACACTGTGCGGGAATAGCATCTCCTCGGCCGCGCAGCAAGGCTCCAGCTGTCTCATTTGCCAACCGAGGAAGATGTGGACCGGACAACTCCTGCAACACTCGTAGGACTGTTTGGGTTAGCTGTTAGGCCGCCGGGGGGACGAGCCCCTCTTTCTTCAATCTTCATGTGATGCCAAGCCGTCAAGCCCAAAATCCTTGGCAGAATGCACCAAAACCCAAGTCCCAACAGCCCCAAGCAATAAACCACCGGAAGCAAAAAAGCAGATCATTACGAGTATTACTTCTGTTGCATACTATTACGACTACTATTGTTATCATTATTATCTGCATTGTTAGTATCTTCAGTATTACGATTATTATGATTATTTATTATCATTATCATTATCATTCCCATTGTTGAGAGTATTGTTTCCATTACTATTACTGTTATTTGTATTGTTAACCCCGAAAAGCCTGAACATGGTCGGAGGCCTACTCCCTCACGAGGGTGAAGTGTGGCAGAGCGACAGGGCCTAAGATCGGCTCGGGAGGGTGGTCGAAAGGAGTACCCTACCCTGTCCCAGTACCATGATTGAAGCCTGTAGCCTTGAATTTTCGGAATTACGATCCATCCGCATGTGCCCTCAACTGCGACTCGGTTACGGAATGTTACACTGGTTTCAAGTTCTTCGTGCTGTGATTGTGGCCAACAGAAGTTTTGCTGCTCAGTGCGGTGACGACCGCTGATTTCTTGTGGAAAGTCTCTGTCTGGTATCTGTAGGATTTCTTAAAACGCACTTTCAGATCCAATTCTAGGCTGTGGCCGCCATGAAGCACTGCTGATAGGGAACCGCAAGTACATGGAACATAAATCGAACAACGCACTGTGTCTTCGAGTCTTTTCATTTCCGTTGGTTTGGATGTGTTTGACGTCGACGGCATGGGAACTTTGAAAGTAAATCGAAGGTCAACCGAACAACACGATGTTTAATCTTCCACGGTTTCGATATTTTTCAGAGCTTCTGCATGGGAAAGCGGGCATAAATTGAAAAGACATGGAAAACACGCTTTGTCCTTATTCGTGTTTTTTTGCACAGGGAATCGAACACAGTCAAAATATGTCGAACAAGTGTACTGTCCTGTTAGAGTTGTTCGCAATGTCCGCTGTTTTGGCCTTGTGGACAAGCTCTCTGTATGGGGGATCGAAAATGAGTCGGAAATAATGCGAGGATGCGAAAGCACACAGAGTGTTTGTTTCAATTTCCATTGTTTTGGCCTTGCTTCAAGCGGTTTGTATGGGGTATCGAAAATACATGTCACATCAACATATTGTAACGTACGACCGTGCGTTTTCTGACTTGGAAGTTATTATGATTTCCACGGATCCGGGATCCTGGCCGCAAACATGCTTCTCTAAGAGTGTCATCTCCATTCATTGAGATTCTTATAATTAGGGTGTTGTGGCATCGCTTCCCGATCTTGCCATACATTACATGTTGAGATTGAGGCAGCAAGGCTCGTGGCTCCGGTTTTGCGAGGTGCGACGAGTGCCCAATCGACTTGATCAACTGCGAGGCGGCGAAACCCAGATGCATCCTCCCTGCCCTTCTGGGATTGCCGCAGCTTTAGGGTTTGTTCACGAGTTCGCGATGGTTGCTCGGGCCCAACATCCGAAAGGCAGAAGAGCCCGGTTGTCCGAACCGTATGCTAGTCCTCCAGCGAAGCCCGAAGGCCGTCGTTCAGTAAGCCCGGAAGCACAGGCACAGGTCCATGTTCCGGGCCCGCTGTTCGGTGGCCCTCTTTGAAGCAGCGTTTTGCTTTCAAGGTCCTCGGTTAAGAATGAAGACTGGTAAGTGGGTAAGTGCATGGCCATGTCCGCAAGTCAGCGAGGACCACGTTGTCCATACCCAAAAATAAGAGATGGCCCGACACTATGGCAAGTCTTCTAAATATGTCCTCGCGCAAAGATGGGTAACTCCCGGGCATCATTGTCGTCTTAGTCGGGGTGGTGGAGGTTGGGACATGGGGACTGGGGGCATTGTCAAGCCGTAGTAGCATTGGGAGAGCGGTCTACTTAAGTCGGATGGCCAAGATTCAATTAGGATTATCTGGCTGTCTGCACTGCATTTTTCCGTGCCAGTTTCTCAACAGCCTGCCGCCGAAGAATCCGGATGCAGATGAGCCGCCCGGTTGTGCTGAGGCTTCGAGTTTCACGATTGAATGCCAATGTAGCTGCTAATATACTAATATACTAATAACAATACTAGCAATGATAACAATGCCCGCATTTTTGAAGCCTTTTGTCACGCTTGAAAGAACGAAACCTTCACCTCCAAATGCTGAAAGACTCGGATTTTGAAAGACTGAGCAAAGGTCAAGTCTTGCTTCAAAACCAAGCAAGCTGGACATGCCAACATGGAGCCAGTAGTGTCCTTGTAGCAGTTGGCAGGGTTCACCGTGACCCGAGATGAGTCCCAAGCACTCGTCTTGTGCCGTCTTTTGAAGCCCCAAGCTATTCATCCTCCAGACCCCGAGCCGCAGAACGCTGGACCGAAAGCCGGAGCTCAGGAGCACCCTGGAGGGAGGCGCAGTGGCGGAAGGAAGGGCCCAGAGCATCATGGCTATCGTGACCACGACCACGACGACCGTGGTGGATGGATGCACGTGCCGAACCCAGGGAAGCAAAGATGGTGGACGGCTGACAGTTCAAGTTGTGGAAATCCAACCGACCAAGAGCCCTGCTCCCTCGAACCCATGGCCGTAGACAAACACAGCGATGCAGGAGACATACGGAGCTTTTACTGTTAGTGCTTCCCTTTTGACCAGCCCATCCTCCCATCCTCACAGAACGGCAAACCTCGACCAGGGATGGCTGTGTCGTCGACGGCTCACGCAATTCCTGTGCCGACTGGGTGATGACCTTCGCCAGGCCATGCCGGCGCTTTATGTCTGCAGTGCTTGATCCCAGCAGTAGAATTTCCCGCAACCACTGAATGCGCAAACTTGGCATCTGTATAGATTTTTGCCTGATTTCACCCGCTTCCCCCAAGCCACGGAGAGCTTAGACCGAAGGGCGGTTTGCCAAGCGTCCATGCCAGGCAGGCGTACCGAGGACAGCCTGACATCTGCCCACAGGCCGGGATGGGATCTAAGGACTACTTGGAGGTTCATGGCTAGTTGTAAGTGGGGTTATAAGTAGGGTAATTAACTATAATTATAACCCATATTAGGGGACTTATAACTTCACTAACTAACCATGAAACTCCAAGTATACGAACCAGATAAGAATAATGGCACCAGTGGTGGTAGTGTTTGTTATTTAAGAGCTGTAGTAATGATGCTGACACGAATCTGTTCATGAAGAAATACAGTTCACAGTAGCATTAATAGCAGTAATAGTAGTGGTTGCAGAAATACTAATAGTCACACTCATAGCAATGATAGTTGCAAATACAACACAAGAGCAATTACAGTAACGATGACAATAACAGCAATGATAATAACCAGGACAAGTTTTTTGATAGTATAGTAACAGGAGCGCAACACATAATATCTACAGGAATAAGATAGTAACAGCAGGAACAATGCTAGCAGTAGAAATCATGATGAAGAGTTTGCCATTGCTGAAGACGCAGCACTCGCTCAAGCTTGTTCCTCGGAGGCGGTTTGGCAGCTCCTGTTATGTACCGAAGTTTGACTGATGGCTGAGCTAAAGCTGAGGGTGTCTGAACAAAGAAGTCTGACTCACCGTTTGCACCTGGATCCCCCAAGGCCTGGACGTGTTTTCTTCCTTTTCACACCGCAGCTTAGTCTAGAGAAAGTCTTTCTTGTTCCGGACCTCAAGAGGCCGAGCCGCACTCTAGCTCCGAATCATCCGAGCCTTTGATTCGGGGCCTGGGGTGTTCAGCAGATTCGCTGACAGGATACGGAATGAATGGGACCTGATGTTGGGTACTAGAGTCAGTGAACATCACGAGCGGAGGAAGTCAAAGTAGTGTGCTGCAGAGCCAGGGCCAGGGGATATTGCAAACTGTCCTATGGCTTCTTGGGTTTGGGGGGCGTTGCGCCCAATCATGGGGAGCTGGGGTTCAGAAATCATTGTGTAGGCTCTAACAGGCTTCGTGGTTTGAGAGACTAAGCCCAAGCCACTGTAAGGCAATCGTCCGAAATGCCAGAGACCCAAAGTCTAACAGCATTGGTCACCATGCCGACCTGAGGGGCCGGAACAATCCCAAACTCCAAGCCCAAAGCAAAGCCCCGAAGCACCAAAGCCTTTGTTGAAGCACCCCAACCCTGCACCCCTACAGCCCCAAAGCATCCCAAAGCCCTCAGCCCTGCACCCGACAAGCTCTCAAGGCCGTTTGCATCGAACCCCAAGCCCCCCAAAGCACAAAAAGCGCCCTTTAGCCTACAATCTCTGGACACATCCTGTCAAACCATGAAGAATGTTACAAAGATCCCCTAAACCCTAAACCCTAAATCATTGGTACCAGGAACCTCGCCTAGACATGTTCGAGAGTGAGTGCTGAAATCATTGATTTTTGGTGGCCACCCTCCCAGGCCTACACTCGGATGCGGGTGGAGTGTCGGACAGCGTCCGGGCCTCAGCCTCTTGCTAATGTTATTGTTATTATTACTACTACTATTATTATTATTACTATTATTATTATTATGATTTTTTATGGTTGGCAATATTATCACTCATTGTCAGTGTTATTGCTGTTATGATTGTTGTGTATATTATCACTCATCGTGATTATTGTGTGTAACATTGGTTTGCGTTTTACCACAGATGTCGGAGGCACTGCTAGCAAGAAGCAGTGGCAGACCCGCTGGTTTGCGCTATAGCCGCTATGTGTCATTGTGGATACTCTGTTCTGCGTAGGGTGATATAGGTAGTCAAACAGTCTTCGATGAAGGGCCGTGTGATGAAAGCCATAGAGCTGCATCTGGGCTGCTAGACTTGGGTGCTCGCTTTTGGTTGCTGGTTGGCTGACTTCCATCCCATTACAGCCCGACGTGCTCGTCGAACCATCCTCGCTTGCCATGCCTGCTGAAACTTCGGCTGCTTGCAAGCCACGGAACCTACCCAAACCAGCCTTATCAAGTAACCACTGACGAATCCTGCATCCTGCGAGTCTTACAATTTCCCCATGTTTTTCGATCGCCTTCCCAAGGCCCCAAGGTTGTGAAAGACTGCAGGGAAAAGGGACTGTTAAGGTGCAGCCGCTGTTCACTGGACGCCATTGATTGCAAGGCTAGCCTTGGAATTGTCGTGGTTGCCTCTGTCTTCGGAAGCTGCCTGGGGTGGCTGAGTGGGTGAGAGATGTCACGCGCGCTTGAAAAGATCGCGCAACCCGACCTTGACCCATGAGCATACGAACATGGATGCGAATGACGCTGCTACTGCTTCTGTCACGACTACTACCGCTGCTGCTGCTGCTATTCCTACGACAACGAGTACTTCTATGACTGCTGCAGTTGCTGCTGCTGTACTACTCGTACGAGTGGCAGCAGCAAATAGTGGCGCGACGAAGCGGAACAGGGCTCAAGATGGATTCGCCAACAACAAGACAGAGAACAGCAGGGGTCATAGGGGTCGTTGCAGTAGCGGTGGTGGGAGTGGTGGTAGTGGTGGTAGTAGTTAGTAGTAGTGGTCGTAGTAGTAGTAGTAGTAGTAGTAGTAGTAGTAGTAGTAGTAGTAGAGTAGTAGTAGTAGAAGTAGAAGTAGCAGCAGAAGGAGGAGGAGTACTAGCAGCAGTGGCGGTGGCACTGGTGGTGGTAGTAGCAGTAGTAGTAGTCGTAGT